TGAACGTGTCAGGACCGTTGCTGTACATGGAGGATCAGAAATCTCTCATATTTCATCTATAATATCTATGCGCTCAGAAGATGAGCAAAGATCTCAGGGTTCGGAACGACCAGAGGGTGAGTAATTAATAACAGAATTTTCTTTTCTTTTTTTGGGGGGTGAACTAAGCCTTTAATTATCATCTGACATAGCTTACATGCTAGCTAGTTTGAAATACTACTTCAGTTAAAGTTTTGAAGATATTCTATATTAACTTAATTTAGAACCAGGGTAAATACCTACTTTTGGAAATATACCTGTGATTGATTGATTGATTGATTGACAGATCGATTGATTAATCGGCTGATTGATTCCCAGCAGGTACACAACATCATAAGAAGTTAATATTAGGTTAGATTTAGATCATGACGTTAGGTGACCAAACTTCAATGTCTAGTCAGGGTCTAAGGACAACGTTACTTTGACGTCCAATAACGACGTCAAATTACATTGATATTTGGTTAATTTTAGATTGTGTTGGAAAGTGACCAAAATTCAACATCTGATTAGATGTCATAGTGGTAACGTCCACACAATGTCAAGGTGTAACATGCTAGACATTGATATTTGGTTGATTTTAGGTTAGACATTACGTTGGGTTCTGATGTCAATCTGATTTTCATTTCCAAACAAAATCCAACATCCCCACGAAGTTGTTGACATCCTGTGCCTTAACATAATTCTTGTTCAGCTCTGTACTAAATGAGGCTATACTTTATTTTAGCCAGCTCTTTGATTCTGAATTTTAACAGTACATTCTCAGAAAGAAAGGTAGGAGAGCTGTCACTAGGGTGGTACCTTTTCAAAAGGTACACATTTGCACTTAAAAAGTCCATATTATTACATCAGGGATATATATTAGTACCTAAAATGTACAAAATTGTACCTCCTAAATGCTTTAGGTACTAATATATACTTTTGAGGTACCAATATAGATCATTTAAGTACAAATGTGTACCTATTGAAAAGGTACCACCAGCTCTCCTTTATTTCTGAGAGTGTACAGAAAGAGACTCAGAATGACAGAAGCAAAATCCACAAGAAAGGCAATAAATATCAGGGATCCTGACAAGAACATGATGCATAAATTATATCAATAAGCAATGCATTTACAAACGTCGATCGACCAAATTCACGTCGATATAACGCGAGATGTTCCGATCTCATTTAATGCAAAATTCCATTCGTATATAAGCTTCATTTACGGCTAATTTTCTTTTAGGTAAATGTAGCATGTTTTTTTTTATCTGAGCTGGAATATTTAGGTTATAATCACACATGCTGAGTGAATATGCATCATCATCATCATCATCATCTAAGCAACGCATCATTTGCGTGTGAGCGGAGCGTCAGTCTCCGCCTCTGCCTTCAAGCACTGGCCTTGTTCTTCACCGGTAATGACAGATCTGATGTTTATTCTGAGAGACAGTCGCTCACTCTACACCCTTCGCATATTCTGATAGCTGTTTTAAAGGCATAACGATGCGCATTTACTCACAGTACGCAATATTTTGCTCAAGAGGAGAAAACCTGAAAATCGACGCATACAAAGGCCTAAATATTTTTCTAATAACCGTGCTTCTGTTTTCATCACGTATCATGCCCTGTCACAGACCTCCAGTCCGTAATAGGCCGGATCGGTAGCATGTAGAGCTCATGACAGCTAATTACCAATTTCCATCAAGCGAAATGTTTGCTGCTAAAATTAAAAACGAGTCAAAATCTGTCTGTTTTTGTGAAAATAGGACGCATCACTTACCTAATAAATCCCAGTATGTTTATTCCATAAATGACATCCGTGCGCTCTTGTGCTCGGAGCGGCGCGCTCTGCCCAGCCCAGTCTGAGGTGCAGCTGCGCGTCTTGACGCACGGTGGCGCTGCGGTGTCAAGAAAGAACAAGATGACAAGCGCTCCCTGTGGTCAGCAGCATTATTTTTATCACATGCTTGCGCTAATTTGTATCTAATTTACAGATTTATTAATTTATCTAATTTATTTTATTTATTTTATTTATTTTATTTATTTTATTTTATAAATATAGTTTGCAACCACTTACCTTTAAAAAATTAAACAAATCCAATGAATCATTTTTTCAGTGTAGCCTATTCTTACTCCTAAATGCTGAATAAATGTAAATTAATATGTCTTGAATGTTTATTTGGTTATAAGCCCTATATCGATGAAGCAGTTCATCCAAAGGCTTAATCTTTTACTCACTCGGGTGTTTCCAAATCTTTACAAATTTCTTTCTTCAGTTGAACACCGAAGAAGATATTCTGAAGAACGCTGGAAATCTGTAACTATTGACATCCAAAGCAGGAAAAACTAATATTATTGATGTCAATGGATATCAGTGTCTTTTGTGTTCGAACAGATGAAACAGAAAAAGTGAAGGGTAAGTATGACAGACTTTTTAAACTATCCTTTTTCATGTAACTATAATCAGGATTTCTGTAAACCCCAGCTGTTGGCCACCTATTAAATGAACAACATGATAGTACACTGAACACTAGATGGCGAAGTTGTACGTGACAGTCGAGATTTCCCCCCCAAAGAACTGTCAACAATAAACCTTTTCAATATCGGAATGCATGCATATTTATATTTATATATTGTTCACATGCTTGGTCATAAGTTCAGGGAAAAAGCAGATTTTTTTGTTTGTTTTGTTTATCACTGTGTATTTTATTCCTATATGGGACATTTTTTTCAGCATCAATCTTTATTTATTTGATTTGTCATGGATTATTGCATTTTATTTATTAATTACGTATTTATTAATTAATTTATTTAGTTAGTTAGTGTTTGTAACTTTAAGGTTTTATGTTGACATCTGCATGTAATGGTAATTAATTTTCCTAACACTCTAAGCCTGTATAAGTTGAGTTTATTTAAAAAATAAGAGGAAACTAGTTGCCCTAAAAATTTTAAATAATATATACTTAAAAACTTGAGGGAGCTCTACTTAAAAGATAAGAGTTGTTCTAATATGTATTATAAGTTATATGCACTTAATGATTTTAAGTAGTGTCAGTTTACTCCACTCATCTTTTTAAGAGCATTAAAATAAACACAGAGTTGTTTTATTTAAATTTCCTTTCAAAGTACAGCAAAACAATGTAAATGCTACGCAATACAACTTAAAAATCAGTTTGTCTACTTTTCTCTTAAGTGCATCTACTCAAACAAGATCGAATAACATTGACCCCCAGTTTTAAATGCTCACAAAATATGTTGTTAGGATTCTGTCCTCTTTATGTCCGTTTATGTTGTTTGTTAATAGGTTACATTACTTGATCATGCCTGCTTAGCACTAGTCTGGAATTTCTGACTTCAAAAAAATATCATGATCCAAAATGCAGTTTGAGTTTTCTGATTAGCATGCTAATTAAACAACCCCATTTGAGTAAGTTTTACCCCAGTGTTTTAGTGTCCAGTGGCAACTTTTCTATTAAAAATAATGTTTATGTATTGACATTTGCAATAATAATAATAATAATAATAATAATAATAATAATAATAACAACCCATTTTTAAAATAGCGTTAACCTGTTATTAGAGTAAATATAATAAATTTTGAGTAGGAAAAAACACACACAGTTGAAGTCAGAATCATTACCCCCCTTTGATTTTTTTTCTTTTTTAAATATTTCCCAATTTATGTTTGACAGAGCAAGGACATTTTCACAGTATGTCTGATAATAAGAAAATCTTATTTTTTTATTTCGACGAGAATAAAAGCAGTTTTTAATTTTTTAAACAGTATTTTAAGGACAAAATTGTTAGCCCCTATAGGCTATTTTTTTCCAATAGTCTAAAGAACAAACCATTTTAACTTGCCTAATTACCCTAACCTGCCTAGTCAACCTAATTAACCTAGTTAAGCCTTTAAATGTCACTTTAAGCTCCAAAGAAGAGTCTTAAAAAATATCTAGTCAAATATTATTTACTGTCATCATGCCAAAGGTAAAGTAAATCAGTTATTAGAGATGAGTTATTAAAACTATTTTAATTAGAAATGTGTTTAAAAAAAAACTTCAGAGGGTCTAGTAATTGAGGTGGGCTTATAATTCTGACTTTAACTGTATTTGCTGGCTTAAAATGAAGAACCCAACTACTTTGATTAATTTACCCCTAATGCAATCTGTTTTATATATTTCCCAGCAGTTAGACTTAAAACAACCCAATTTGGGTAACTTTAACCCAGTGTTTTTAGAGTCCAGTGACAACTTTTATTATTAAAAACATATTAGAAATTGACATTTGCAAAAAAATAAAAATAAATAAAATGAAAAATTGAAAAGTACCTATTATGTTCTATTGGCTTAAAATGAAGAACCCAAATACTTTGATCAATTTAACCCCTAATGCATTCTGTTTTATATATTCCAGCATTGGGCTGAAAACAACCCAATTTGGGTAGTTTTTAACCCAGTGTTTTTGGAATACAGTGATAACTTTTTATTAAGAAAAAACATATTTATTTACTGATATTTGCAAAATAATAATAATAAAATAAATAAATAAATAAATAAATAAATAAATAATAATAAAATCCAGACAGAATAAATGTTTTACATAAACGCACAATACCAATATGTATTGTTGGGCAGTACCATAAATGTAAAACATTTTGTGATATTAATGTAACACATTTATTTAATTTCTAGGAAAAAACAACATCACTGAATCTAAAAATGGTCAATTTGACCTCCTTCATGCATTCATGTGTTTGGTTCCTGCATTCAATACGGACGCCTCTCTCTCTCTCTCTCTCTCTCTCTCTCTCTCTCTCTCTCTCTCTCTCTCTCTCTCTCTCTCTCTCTCTCTCTGCCCATTGGCTGCTGGGGTCCATGGTTCACATGCAGCCCATCATTGGTTTTTACGAGTCTCTCCCCCTCCCACTCGCAGCCGTCCTGCTCTCGCCCGTGTTCAGCAGATCCATGTCCATCATCTACCTCTCTGGACGGTCAAGTTCGCTGGCACGTCACGTCCGCACTTGAACTTGCAGCAGCTCAGGGGGCTTCGCTTACTTTCCATTCCTGTCTTGCATTCTCCTCCAAGAAGCCATGAAGCCCAACACAAGCGTCTTTTCGCCAGTACAAGCGTCTTTTCTGTACTATTCTCTATAATTCATGTGGGATACCCGATGCATCGCTGAAGAAGATTTTTACTCTGGACACCCTGAAGACTCTGGCGCTTCCCAATGTGAGCCCAGCTGAGACCGAGTCCAACATGTCTCGCCGCAAGCAGGGCAAACCCCAGCACTTAAGCAAACGGGAGTTTTCGCGTAAGTTACCGGAAAGTTCTGCTTTTTCTGTCTGTCTGGATTGCTCAAGTGCGTCTTGTGAAGTGCGTCTCGTGTTTTGGAACGAAGCGCGTTTTAATGTTACGCGCGAAGGTTGATTACGCATTACGCATATGTGTGTTTGTGTGTGTGTATATATAAATGCATAAATCAGACGTAATTTGTAAGCAGTTTGAAGTAATCTGCGTTCACACTCCCTTGAGGTTTTTTAAAAGCTGAAGCTTGTAATAATGAATATTAAAGAATGCATTTCTTTGCGTATGATGATTATTAACTTTTATGAGATGTATGCTTATTCAGTTTTTTCAGAAACAGAAACAAATGCAAATGTTAATTTTGAAAGTGTTTTCATTCTCATAACTTTCTTGAAAGACAAATATCAAGCTATTATTCAGTGATATAAGGTTTTCTCTTTAGTGAAACATTTTTTTAATATTATTTTGCACATAAAACTGAGGTCTTTTGTCAAACCGGTTTAAATCCCCGGAGTACCTCTCCACGCACCTCAAGTGCAGCTTCTAATTTTTGTATTTACAAATACAACATTTATTATGAATGAGAAAACCTCCACGAACTTCATACCGATGTGATTGTTACGCTTAGCTTTCACTTTAATACCTGTATTTTATCATATTTTATTTTTTGTGCTTGTTTTCCGATACGAAGTTGTGATGTGTATCCGCTAGAGGGCAGAAAAATGACAAACGAATGTCCGTTTGGGATGAGAGACACTGCTGGATGAACTTGAACTTGGTCTCTCAGCCCCAGCCTTCGCCCATTTGTTCAGTCCTGTATACATTCACAGTGTTGCTTATGTAAACATTGCTTTGGAGGACATGTGGGTCAATGACAAAGTATGTCAGAGATGATAAAAAAGGAGAACTGTGTTGCTGATCTATATTGAGACAGATACCCTGTGCTCTTAGATATGCTATTGAAAGTACAGTTTTAAAATATGGTATTCTTTTGTTGGCCACACTTTATTTAAAGGTACAAATCTCGCTATTAATGAAACTTTTAGCTCAATAAAATACTTATTTATAACTATGGTTAAGTATTGGGTAGGATTAGGGATGTACATTACGATCCTACTTTATATTTGCTAATAAAGAGCCAATATCTTAATAATTAAGTAACAGACCAGTAGTAAATAGTGGAACTTAACTACTAACTACTAGCTATTCAGATACTATTCTTGCATTTAATACTCGATGTTAAGCATTGTTGGAATAATTTAACTACATCACTGACCTGTTTGTCCTCATGGTTATTTAACATGTTGATAAATAAGCAATATTGTATCAGGTTTTGTTATCTTCAAGTATCCATAATAGTTTATTGAATAGTTTTTTAAATAATAAAAAGTCACCTGTTTACCCAGCGTACATTTTAATTAATATTGATTGTACAGTTTATTTTATTGTAAGGTACAAATATTGCTATTAACTGAAGCTTTTAGGTCAATAAAATACTAATTTATATCTAGGGTTAAGTATTGGGTGGAATTAGGGATGTAGAATAAGATCATACTTTATATGTGCTGATACTACTTTTTATGTGCTATTAAAGAGCCACTATCCTAATAATAAAGTAATAAGCAGGTAGTTAATAGTGGAAGTTAACTGCTAACTAGCCATTCCGATACTATTCTTGCATTTATTACTCAATGTTATACAATTTTGGAATACTTTAATTTAAGCTATTGACATATATGTATTTATAGTAATTTAAAACAATAATAAAATGACAATATTACATCAGGTTATATCATCTTAAAGTATCCTTATTAGTTTAATAAATAGTTTTCTAAATACTAAGAAAAATCACCTGTTTGCCAAGCACACATTTCAATTCGTATTAATACAGTTCAGTACAGTTCGTTTTATTTTAAGGTACAATTATTGCTATTAATTGTAGCTTTTAGCTCATTGAAATACTAATTTATAAGCATGGTTAAGTATTGAATAGAATAAGATCCTACTTTATATGTGCTAATAAAGAGCTAAAATCTTAATAATAAAATAATAAGCAGGTAGTTAATAGTGGAAATTAACTACTAACTAGCCATTCAGATACTATTCTTGCATTTAATACTCAATATTAAGCATTTTTACTGAACCTTTAGCTCAATAACATACTAATTTTTAATTATGGTTAAGTATTGGTTAGGATTAGGGATGTAGAATAAGATCATACTCTATATGCACTAATAAAGAGCCAATATCTTAATAAGAAAGTAATAAGCCAGTAGTTAATAGTGGAAATTAAACTAATAACTATACAAGCTATTCAGAAGCTTTTCTTGCAATTAATACTCAATGTCAAGCATTTTTGCTCAACTTTTAGCGCAATAAAATACACATTTTTAACTATGGTTAGATATTGAGTAGAATTAGGGTTTTACAATAAGATCCTACTCTATATGTGCTAATAAAGAGCCAATATCTTAATAATATAGGAATAAGCTTGTAGTTAATAGTGGAAATTAAACTAACTACAAGCTATTCAGTCACTATTCTTGCATTTAATACTCAATGTTAAGCATTTTTGGAATAATTTAACAACACCATTGACCTGTATGCCTTTATGGTAATTTAATATGTTGATAAATAAGCAATATTACATTATGACATCTTAAAGTATCCATTATAGTTTATTGATTTGTTTTCAAATAATAAAAAAAATCCCTTGCACTGTAAAAAATCCTGATTGCCTTAAAATTTTTAACTAAATCAAATTAACTTTATGAGTCTATTGTACTTATATTATGTTAAACTGACTTAAAACAGCTTGCGTAATGTCTAAAATCAAGTTAAAACACATTAACTCAGTTTAATAAGTTATAATAAAGTAAAAACATATGCTGTCATGACTAATTGTTCATATATTTTTTACAGTGTAAGATTAGGGAGGTAGAACAAGATCCTACTCTATATGCACTATAAAGAGCCAATGTCTTATAATACGAACGTAATAAGCCAGTAGTTAATAGTGGAAATTAAACTAATAACTAACTACAAGCTATTCAGATACTATTCTTGCATTTAATACTCAATGTTAAGCATTTTTGGAATAATTTAACAAAATCATTGACCTATATGTCTTTATGGTAATTTAATATGTTGATAAATTAGCAATATTACATCATGAGATCTTAAAATATCCATAATAGTTTATTAAATAGTTTTTTAAAATAATAATAATAAAAATCGCCTGCACTGTAAAACAATCCTAGTTGCCTTAAATTTTTAAGCTGAATCAAATTAACCCCATGAGTCTATTGAACTTATATTATGTTAAACTGACTTAAAACAGCCTACGTATCTTATAAAATTAAGTTAGAGCATGATTAACTTAGGATAATAAGTTAAAATGAACTTGACTAATTTATCACATATTTTTTTTACAGTGCCCAGTGCCATTTACAGTGCACATTTCAATCCAAGTTGTGTCTTGAAAGAAAAGAAACATTACAGAGGATCAATTATAATGATGTTTTTTTCACTGAGAAGCTCATATTGTTGCCCCCACCTTTTGTCCCACCTGACCTGACACAGAATTAGGGTTAACCTAGCACTGATGGCAACAATTTAGACGCACGATAAGGTTTTGATTGCTCTTTCATATGTTCTGGCTGTCTTCAGGGAACTACCCCACATACTCCCCTCAATAGCTAACCTCGGTTCAGAGGATTCCAGCACTTTTAACTAAATGGGTTCCAATCATCTCGAAGTCAAATTAGAATCTATTTTTTGATTCTCAGAGGTGTTGGGTTCATTAAGACGTGAGATTGGCAGGATAATGAACAGGGTCATGCAACTAAAGCGAACAACCCCCTCCTCTTTATACCATTACTGGGCAACCACTGTTTTTTTTTTTTTTCTAGCCGTCTTTGGTTTCTCATCTTCTCTGAATCTTCCTTTCATTGATTGATTGTCAGGATTCCTCTGACAGAAGTGTCAGCGTTTCAGTAGTGCATATTAATGGTGGGATTGCTGTGCTGATGCATATATGAATATCACCAATAAATGTATTCATTTTACACCCATGTGACACCTGACTACACATTTGTAGATGATAAATAGGCAGTGATTTTGTGAGTGTGTGTGTAAAACACAATTTTTTTGAAGAAAAAAAAAAAATTATCTAATCTGAAGTCTGATGTTTGAAAAAATAAAAGAGGTCACTAATTTTAGCATTTTTTACAGTTGTTTCGAAACATTTTTCTTAATTGTACCTTAAATATGTTGCATGGTGTGACATAGAAAACATTAAAAAAACAACTCTTAATATAATATAAGGTTACGAGGTGGCTAAGTGGTTAAAACTGTTGCCTCACAGTAAGAAGGTCGCTGGTTCGAGTCCCAGCTGGGCCAGTTGGCATTTCTGTGTGGAGTTTGCATGTTCTCCCTGTGTTCGCCGGGGTTTCCTCTGGGTGCTCCGGCTTTCCCCATTCTAAAGACATGAGGTATTGTTAGCCAGGGAGGCCCTGTCTAGGGGTAGATTCTCACTTTTGGTGCAAAAGATCCCAGGTTTATATCCCGGACGAGCCCCCAATTGTTGCGTGCTACCCTGGCTTTAGAGTGGCCATGTGTGTAAATGAGTGTTTGTGGGTGATTCCCAGTACTGGGTTGCACCTGAGGGCATTTGCTGTGTAAAACATGTGCTGGATAAGTTGGTGGTTCATTCTGCTGGCGCGACCCTTGATGAATAAAGGGACTAAGCCAAAGGAAAATGAACTCTTAATAGCATGAGAGAAATTTATCTTCACTTGATGTTCATTTTTGAGATTTATTTTTAATTTGTCGTTATATAATGCTATTTATTTTATATAAAATTATTAATAATATATTTTTTTCTTCATAATGTTTCCAATAAACAGAGGTGGCTCATCAAAGTACAACAAAACATAACTATTTTATTGGGATTCCCAGGGATGGACAAAAATACTTTGAAATGTATTTTAAAATAAAATATTAAACACCTTAGTTTTACAATAAATTACAAAATACAGCAGCCGCAACAAGTATCCAAATAAATTCTGTATTTTGTATTTTGATAATACTATAAAATACTTTTACATGGGAGTATAACATTTTTTTGCAAACATTTCATCAACAGGCATATTTGATCAATCTCTTCACCACTAAACTGACTCACTGAAGTAAACAATGTTTGACAGCAACAGTGTTTTGCCTTGTTTTCTTGGCATCTAGATCAGCAATTAATCCAAAACTACAATTATATGTTCACTTGACTAATTCTTCCAAGATTTAATCAGTTCTTCTTTAACTGAAAGAGTCTCAGTTTACCCCCTTAGTGAACACCAGTACGCCATCTTTAGGTGTTTTATTATTCTAAAGTTCATCTGCATTTGAGACTGAGAATGATTGTTGATTTACTTGAGCCAGTTGATTTACTCTAAAATATACCCATGCCATTTGTCTATTATTTTCTTTATGTGTACATAACTTCCATCCATACTCCAAGCATTGACCACCTTCTTAATCAATTTTCTGTTCTGATCTCAAGCCTAGGCAAATAAATGAGATAGCATTCATCTGAGGCCGCATTTTTATGTCAGACTTCTTCAAAGTATTTTACAGTCTTTTAAAAATACAAAGATACTTAAGTATTTTGATAGAAAATATTACCGGCCCATGGTTGAACCTAGGATTCGGGAGGAGCAATTTGGTTTTCGTCCAGGCCGTGGTACACTAGATCAGCTCTATACCCTCACCAGGGTGCTTGAGGGCCCATAGGAGTATGCCCAACCAGTCCACATGTGTTTTCTAGACTTGGAGAAGGCCTTTGACTGTGTCCCCCGTGGCATTCTGTGGATGGTGCTCTGGGAGTTTAGGGTCAGAGGCGCTCTGTTAAGGCCTGTCTCATCCCTGTATGAACAGAGTAGGAGTTTGGTTCGCACTGCTGCCAATAAGTCAAACTTGTTTCCAGTGGATGTTGAGCTTCAGCAGTGCTGCCCTTTGTCACCAATTCTGTTCATAATTTTTATGGACAGAATTTCAAAGTGCAGCCTTGGGCTGGAGGGGGTCCGGGACCATAGGATCTTATCTCTGTTATTCGTAGACGATGTTGTTCTGTTGGCTTCATCGAACATGGACCTTCAGCATGCTCTTGGGCGATTTGCTGTGTGAAAAAGCTGGGATGAGAATCAGCACCTCCAAGTCCGAGGCCATGGTGCTCCACCGGAAAAAGGTGGTTTGCCATCTCCAAAATTAGCCCTGATGGAGGAGTTCAAGTATCTTGGGGTTTTGTTCACGAGTGAGGGAAGGATATAACGTGAGATTGACAGGTTGATTGGTGCAGCGGCAGCAGTAATGCAGTTGATGTACCGATCCGTTGTGGTAAGAAAGAAGGAGCTGAGTCGAAAGGCAAAGCTTTTGATTTACAGGTCAATTTACGTTTCTACTTTCACCTATAGTCATGAGCTTTAGTTCATGATCGAAAGGACAAAATCTTGCATACAAGAGGCCGAAATGAGTTTCCTTCTGTCACCCGGGAGGAGCTCGGAGTAGAGCCGCTGCTCTTCCACATCGAGAGAAGTCAGCTGAAGTGGCTTAGGCATCTGTACACCTACCAAGGGAGGTGTTCCAGACATGTCCCACTGGGAGGAGGCCTCTGGGAAAACCCAGGACAAGCTGGAGGGACTATGTCTCTCATCTGGCCTGGGAACCCCTCCGGATCCCCTGTAGGAGCTGAATGAAGTGTCTGGGGAGAGGGAAGTCTGGGGTTCTCTCCTAAGACTGCTGCCCCCACGACCCGGCCCTGGAAAAGAGTTTAAAACAAATCAATAAATTAATGAATATTAACCCATTTTTATAAAATCTATCAAATAAAAATTACAAAATACTATTTTGTATTGAAAATGCATATTTGTAATACTTGTATGATAAAAATTGCCCAAAAGTTAAATATCAAGTGCATGTTATGAGCTTCTCAGGGGGCTTCAGTCACATGATCTTGAATGGAAGTCTTCAATAATTAAAGTTTTGAGTGGAATTGTCATGTCGATTGAAATGTCCTGTCATCAACCCATGCCATGTAACACCTCTGCAACACATTTCCATTCAAATGGACTGGAATATAATTATCACTTATGCTACATGTGTAATTAGCACTTATAAAGTCATTATCAGGTTTCACCATATCATCTCTCACACCTATTTTCTGCATTTCTCCTACTGTAGCCGAGCCCGTGACGGCAGATATCCCAGAGGACGGGGAAAGCAATCCCGGATCAGAACCATCCACCCCTAAAGGGGACCAGGACCTCCTCACCTGTGGTCAGTGCCGCTCCAGGTTTCCTTTGGCCGACATCCTGGTGTTCATTGAGCACAAACGCAGGCAGTGTCAAGGGCGCCTATGCATGGACAAAAGTTCAGACCTGCCACCATCGCCTCCCCCCGCAGGCCTGCGGCGAGCCTGCATCCCAGTGGAGGTGGCGGTTCAAGTTTCGCCCCACGGAGAGGAGCGTTTAGCCTCCACGCCACATGGATTACGGCCCAAGCAGGAGAATTTATCAGGTAGAGTAACAGATGCTTGTGTATGAGAGGCTAAACTTCTAATTGGAAGGCCCTGATGAATACCATGTTCCTGCTGACGTTTTTTTTTTTACAGCCTTCCACTTTCTGTGATGAAAATAGTGTCCTCGCTGTCACTATGAATGGGCATTTTCTCAGTTCTCTCATGTGGTTTTTCCACAGATGTTGCTGCGTTTAGTGTGGTTTTCACAAGGTCGTATCTCACTCCAGTAAATATATAGCTGCAGAGCGTAAAAAAAGAAGACTAGAAAATCATTTTCAGCTGTCTGAGAAAAGACCTGCCGCAGATTTTTACAGATTGTAGTCATTTTCATAATTATGAAAGAGTGATTCTTTTTGCGTTAGCCACAGCAAGGAAAAACATGCAGCATGCATTATGATATTATGTTGCAGTTATAGATTTACAGTTTCCCTGCTAGGATGCTAATTCTTTTTGTCGGGTTTCCGTTGTGATGCTGTTTCAACTTGTCCCAGACAAATCTTTTAGTTTGAATTGTGATTATATTATAATATATTCGTGTACTATTAAAAAAATCCTGGGTTGTCTTAACAGAGTTCCTTCGTGTCGCCGCTAACTTAATCGGTTTTGCTAACGTAAGTGGATTAAACATTAAACAATTAAGTTGTCCCAAAAAATCTGCTAAGAATTGTGTTGTTTCAGCTCATTTTAAATAAGAACGAACAGCAAATGTAATTTTTTGAGTGTAGGTTAAATATGGACAAATTCAAGAGTTGGGTTAAAAAATGTAATTTAAATTAAGTAGTAAATATTGTGTGAGATAAGACCTGTCGGAGATTATTACGGATTGTAGTCATTTTCATTACAGACCCTTTTTACATTTCCGGGTTTCTCAGTAGGAGAAGTCATCGTTGTTGGGAAAACATATTGAATGAGAGAATACAACAAATATTTGTATTTGTACAATCTTATTTGCTGAAATAATTAAAGAAAAACTCCATGATGATGTTATAAAGAAAAAAAGAAACAAATTGTGTGAGACGGCAGCCAGAGGAGAGAATAACGTCAAATTTACTCTCCTGCCATGTAGACGCTGCAATAAAAATGCCTCGCACAAGCGGTAATTTTTTTTTTGTAATTTGAAGCAAAGATACTACATTCATAAATACATATAAATGTTAATACTTTTAAAAAAATATATAACTATTAAAAACTTTCAAGTATTTAAGATGCCAATAACCAAGAAACGCCTTATAGCAGGGTTATGAAAAGGGTCCATTATGAAAGAGTGACTTTTTTGCGTTAACCACAGCGAGGAAAAACATATTATGATTTTATGTTGCAGTTATGCATTTACAATATCCCTGCTACGCTCTCAGAAAAAAAGATACACGGTGGTACAAATAATGTTTCTTAAGGAACAGTTTTGTACCTTTGTAAAAGTTGTACCTTATATGGTACAGAAAAGATCTTTTATGATACTGTTCTTTTATGGTACAACTGAAATGAAGATACACAATTGTTCTCATAAAAATACATCAATGTTGGACAACTCCTTCTTTATTACAATATCTATGAAAATAAATATTACTGAACAGGCAAAGTGCTTTATGAATAATTTTCATATTAAAACATGAATCATCATTTTAAAGCATGTTTAAAGAAACTCATAAACATTAAGTATTAAGTTCTATAATACAAAATAATTGGTAAAACAAAACTATATATATTGTAAACTAAAGATTTAAGGCATTTTTAATAATCATTTGGTAAGCATTTTCTGATGAATACATTTTCATTATTGATATCCGCACCTTTTGGTGTTTGCTTTACACTACACACGTGAGCTGGCAATGGTCCCGCATATGCAACGTGTGCATTTTAGTATTGTAAAGCTCATCAAACATTGTGCATATCTCATTACAATACTTTTGCATAACTCTGTTTCTATTTTAAAATAATTAAATTAAATGATTACAAAGGTATCGTGTGAAAATTGGAGAAAAAAAGTTTTATATTGTACATTGGAGAATGTGTTTCGTAACATGTTTGTGAAAAGTGTTGTGATCTCTACTAGCAGGGCTTCCAGGTAACTCTATCAAGCCTCTTCAGCTGCTCCAGAACGCAGCAGCACGAGTGGTCTTTAATGAACCTAAAAGAGCACATGTCACTCCGCTGCTCATCCGTTTGCACTGGCTGCCAGTTGCTGCTCGCATCAAATTCTAAGCTCTGATGTTTGCCTACAAAGCGACTTCTGGCTTTGCTCCTTCTTATCTGCTCTCACTTCTGCAGATTTATGTGCCCTCCAGAAACTTGCGTTCTGTGAAAGAACGTCGCCTCGTGGTTCCATCCCAAAGAGGGAAGAAATCACTTTCCTGAACGCTCTCGTTCAATCTGCCCAGTTGGTGGAATGAACTCCCTAACTGCATCAGAATGGCAGAGTCACTCGCTGTTTTCAAGAAACGACTAAAAACTCAACTATTTAGTCTCCACTTCACTTCCTAATCTGCAATTGCCTCTCTAGATATACCAGTAACTGTACCCAAAAAAAAGATAAGTTCTTAGACTTTACAGACCTGAAACTTGCCTATCGCACTTATTCATTGTTGCTCTTATAGTTGTGTAAATTGTTTCCTTGTCCTCATTTGTAAGTCGCTTTGGATAAAAGCGTCTGCTAAATGACTAAATGTAAATGATAGATCTTTTGATTTATGTTAAAGTATTTTTTTATTCTTTATTGTAAAGGAAAATGTGCATTTACACACAATTAAATGTTTTTAAAAACATGGTTTTAAAATATATTTGATGTTTCATATTTACTGAAAATAAATTGACGCATTTTGGATAAAGCGAAACGCTTTTAAACAGTTCTTAAAGGAACACATTTGACACTGTTAAGGTACAAAGTGTCTTGTCACTATAGTGGTGCCTTTATGGATCAGATTTGTACTTTTAATGACGGTATAATATTGTATCTGCAGGTTTTAAAAATCAAAGGGACATTTTGGTTTCCCATAAAACAAATCAGGTCCCTAAAGGTAAAAACTCAACGGTACAACTGTGTTTCTTTGTCGTAAGGTGCAATTCTGTTCCATAAAAAGGTACTGCCCCAGTGACAAGGGTTTGTACCTTCTTTGGTACAACATTTTACAATTTTTTCTGAGAGTATGTGATGCATAATTTTCTTTCCATACTCTATGCATTATCCACCGTCTTCAATATAAAATAGTTTTCTGTTCTGATCTTAAGCCTAGGCAAATAACAGAGAAAGCACAAATCAGAGGCCGCATTTTTATATAGTCACCATGTAGACTTCCTACAAAGTATTTTACAGTATTTAAAAACTGCAAAAATACACGACACTCAAGTATTTTGATACAAAATATGAAGCCATTTTTATCATCCCTATCAAATACAAATTACAAAATACTATTTTGTATTTACAACACATATTTGAAATACTTGTGTCATAAATACTGCCCATCCCTGCCTATAGCACTATTTCTCACCATGTACAACATTTTCCCGTACAAGTCCAGACAGGTCACACGCTTTCGCCGTTACATGTGAAGCACACGCGTGATCTGTCGCGTCCTGCAAGCAGATGTCCGTCACAACAGATGGAATTCTGTATCGGCTGTAAATGGTGAATCCATTAAAGGTTCACGCTTGGAGAAATTTGCATGATAAACAATTTAAGATATGCATGTGGACACAGCAGCTTTTAATACCTACCCCCCCTTTCTTAAAAACACCCCATCACACCCCCATTTAATTCAAGTCTGAATGCCCCCGAGCGGCCAGACGATGAGCTCAGGCAATAACCCCCTTCTGCAGACCTCCATCCCCTGCCCCCTTATCTGCTATCTCTCTGGGGTTATTTTCTTAAGTACATCCATGTGAAGCCATGATATTGCAAAGCCTCATGAAGCTTTGCGAGAATCAAACCCAAGCAACCCCTATTAAAGGGACAGTACACCCAAAAATTAAAATGACTCATCTGTTGAACACAAAAGAACATATTTAGAAGAATATTGATGGCTGGGACCAACTTTCACACTGTAAACAAATGATTCACAAAAAGTCAAGACTACAAATATTCTGGAACTCATAATCAGGTTTCAACTACATACTTTAAGTTGTGCTAAGTTTAATTTTCATTCATTCATTCATTCATTTTCTTGTCGGCTTAGTCTCTTTATTAATCCGGGGTCGCCACAGCGGAATGAACCACCAACTTATACAGCAAGTTTTTACTCAGCGAATGCCCTTCCAGCCGCAACCCATCTCTGGGAAACATCCACACACACTCACACACTACAGACAATTTAGCCTACCCAATTCACCTGTACCGCATGTCTTTGGACTGTGGGGGAAACCGGAGGAAACCCACGCGAAGGCAGGGAGAACATGCGAACTCTACACAGAAACGCCAACTGAGCCGAGGTTCGAACCAGTGACTCAGCGACCTTCTTGCTGTGAGGCGACAGCACTACCTAGTGCGCCACTGCCTTGCCGCTAAGTTTAATTTAATATTTTTAATTCATATAAGTTGACATGGCAACAAAAGTTAAATTTGATTCAACACAAAAATGAAGGCAGCAAGAATTTCTTTACATTGCATTGTAGTAATTAAAATGACTATGGAATCAATGCTTGAAAGCAACCAGCATTATTCAATATACATTTTTTTTTGTGTTCAAAAGAAGAAAGAAACTAGGTTTTAAACAAGCAAAGGATGAGTAAATGGTTGAATAATTTTACTTTTTGGGTAAACTGTCCCTTTTTACTGTAAACAATCAGTGAAAACAACTGGACACAAATTAACAAATTACTTCCAGCAGATTAAGAATAACCCCAAAAATCAAAACAAGTGTTAGTTGTGATACAGACAATTCCTAAGCCACTATAAATAAGAGTAAGTTCCATATAACAGCCATCTTCATTTTGAATCCCCCCCTTTCACTCCTACTCCTCCTCCTTCCTAGATGGGTGGCACGGTGGCCCAGTGGTTAGCACTATT